TACTTGACGCTATCTCTGGAGCTATCGAAGGCCAGTTATGCGTCTCTTACTCGCAAAGTTTTGTGTGTTTCGACGTATGCTAGAGTAAGTTGGTATTAAACTGGTTCAATCTTACTGATTTTGGACTAAGTACATTATTTATCCCTTCAAAGCACGAATAGAATATAATAATAAAATAAAACCATTGTCCACTTATGCTAAAACTCTGGCTCTGGCAATGGTGGCGACTTCATAAGCTTTTAAAGGCAATTTATGTATGTATATACGGCCGGCACAAAATAAAAGCTATCCTTTTTTTTGCTTTTTGGACATTTTATATCAGCGATAACCAGAGAAAGCTTTTGATCTGAGCGCGTGCATAAATAACAGTCACGATCAAAACACATGCCGCAGATTTGCAATAAACGTTCTGTGTGAAAGCTCTCAATGAGCTTCACTGATATAAAAAAAATTTAAAGAGAGGGCTTTAAAAGGCTTCCCCCGCAGGATATATTTCATTCGTGACTGGTTTTAGCCGTATCTGTTTTACACTGGCAATGGGCGCCGCCTTGCAAAGGTTCTCTTTAAGCGCAGTGTAAAAGCTCTTTATACCCATTACTGTTTTAGACGCATGAACACAAACGAAAAGCTTCTTCTTGCTAAAACTGCTTTAAAGCTTTTATTTTGCGTGCATTAGGAGCTGCGTGAGTTTAAATATCGAATTTCTTTAATAAAATTCAATTTAAAAATGTTGGCATATGGAGCTTTGAAGCTTTTTAAATCGAATTCTTATGGCAAAGCTCGATTGAATTACTGATTTATTGTTAAACGATCTCTCAAGCATTTGTTTCTAAACCAGTCACGACTAAAAAATATTACACAGCAGCTTTTTAGAGCTTTCCTAAACTGGCATTTAGAAGCACACGGAGTAAATACACTGGCCTTGGGGAAGCTCTTATCCTGATAATATCTAATAATTCTTTGCAATTTTGGCACTTCATGCCTCTTAGACCTACATCTGTTTGTAATTAAATTTGTGTAAGCTTTTTTGAGCGGGCCTGGGAGGAGGATTAGTAAATTTATGTGGATCCGCTAGGTGACGCTGGAGTCAACACATTTACAACAACCGTATTTATTTTCCGATTTGGTTAATAATAAGATCATATTATGCGCATCTATTGGCCACACAAGTAGAAAAGTAGAAAAGTAAAGCTGCTAGGTGGCGCTAGAGTTGAGATCAATTTTTATCGGTCGATTTAGTTCAAAATCGTGAGAGTCGAGATATTTGTGGAACTACTGCTATTTAAGGTTGATTCAGTGTTCAGAATTTGTAGGAAAATTATTATTTTTAACAAAAAAATAATGCAATAATTAGAATGAGCAACCAAAGGCGAGTTTCTTCTTCAAAATTAATATTTATTTTCTAAATAAATAGATTGCACGAATTGGCCGGGTTGAAACATTCTCATTTTCCGCAGAATTTTCTAATTTAGCGAATTTCACTTAAATACCAGTACATTTAAAATTTCTCACGAAATCCCATTCATTTTGCTGCTGGTAATATTTTTTCTTCGACCTACCAAGGATGAGTGTTCATCCGGCATTAAGCTGATAGCTGTCAAAGCGCACAAGATTTAGTAAGCTAAGGCCAAAATTTGGCAATTTTTTCATTTTAGCATTAGTTTCCAGACAGCAGATTTCCTTATAAAAAAATTAAATGTTATTAGTGAAAGAGCGCCTTTTAGACGCCACGTACGCCTACACTCACCGAAGCTGCATAAGCTAAAAAGGCGACAAAACTGGATAGACGTTGAGTGACACAATGTGCCGGTAATTAACATACACTCATGTGTAGACGCATGTCTCTATAAAATCCATAATATATGTACATATATGCGTCAAGAATGACATTTCGCCTAAGCAAAGTAAATAAATGAAAAAAGTGAAAAGTTTCGCAAATTTAAATTACAAAAAAAAACATACGCTGTACGTGCAGCTTGACCAAAATTAGCAATGATTACTAATAGCGAGATTTGAAGAAGATAAACATATATTTACATAAATATGCTATAAATGATGAAAAACTAAAAAAAAAAAAGTTGTTTTTACAACCAAAAAAGACAAAGTGGCGGCAGTCAGCCATTTGCGAAAATATTCCTAAAAGCGCGATTGCAACATTTTTAGAAGAATTCAAAAGCAGCAAGCCAATTTTAAACTAAAAATTTATTATTTATTTTCGCCTTTACGAGAAAGTGGCGCAACGGTGAGCAATTAGTTACGTATACGCCCTGCCGGTAATTTACATACATATTATGTCTGTGTGGACTGTAGGCAATTTATCAAACCGCAATCATTATGCGCACAGTTCTATTGCGAACTTACATATGCAGTATATACTGTATAAATATTAGAGTACATTAAAATAAAAATATTTTATTTGCCAGCTGCCATTGCGCGCAATAAACGGTATTCGCTGTTGAGCTTTGCGGAAAACGTTTGTTAGCTTTTCTCTCTCCTTTTTTCTCTAATAATGAATAAATTATTAATTTTTATTTCTTTTTATTTTGTACTTTGGCTTTTCGTGCCGGCATAAAATTTACTTACACATGCCTATGTACAGTCCGGCACAAAATTATTGGCATAGAAAATTTTTAAAATTTTTTTCCGCAAGTTTTTTTATAAAAATCTAATTTATACTACAACAAAATATATAAAAATTAAATTTCTGAAAATTCAACAAATTTTCAACTTATCAGATTTTTAGAAAAATTTTGAAAATGAAATCACGAAACATGTTCGACAATATGTATATTGCGTGAAACTGTTAAAAAAAAAATTGTCAAAAATCAACCCGATTTTTTGCAACTTCAAGCATGCACCTTAATTTGCACTAAAATTTTCAAAATTTTTCTGTGAAAGTTGGAAATGTATTGAATTTTCCTGAGTTTTGCACAAAGTTGAGAAATTTTATTGTTATGTTTTTTGTTGTAGTGTAAAGTATATTTTTATAAAAAATTTACGGAAAAAACTTGAAATAAAAAATGTTGCATACATTGTGAAAAATTCTCTGTACCAATAATTTTGTGCGAGACTGTACATATTCACTTGCTTGCGGGCTAATAATGGATTTTATAGTTCTTTAGTTTTTATGGCTTTTTTACGTGTTCAATTGTTTTGGTAGCCGGCTGGTCGTGCCAGAGTAATTTATTCAATCATGTGTGCCGAATGTAAATAAATATTTGCCCAGCTTTAACTGTAATTGTGCGATTGAGCTTGATGCTTGTTTCGAAGTTTAAATTTTATGTGAACTGAAGAATTTGCTCGGGAGTATTAAGAACTTGTGAGCTTCATTCAAGGAATAATTACCCAAAATTCCGAAATAGTCTAGAAAATACTAAAATAATCATGAAATCCCGAAAGCCCCCGAAAAATCTAGCAGGAATAATCCCGAAAAATCCTTCAAAATTAAAGAAAAGTCTCGAGAAGTCATGAAAATCCCAAAGTAGTAACCAGAATAAATTAATAAATACCTGAATAAATTATGAAAAATCCTGAAAGGTCTCTAAAATACCGAAATATCGCGAAAAATAAGCAGGAAGAATCTCGATATTCAAAAAAAATTAAAAAAAATAAATATTACCTAAAATAATCCTGAAAAGTAAAACACGAAGAATCCCGAAAAACTAACAACAAAACAAAAATTTCCGATTGTTTTTATTGAACCTTTAAGTTTAGTGATTTATTAAATACCTAAGTACATAAGTAATTAGCACCCTCAAATATTTATGTACTTAAGTATTTAGTATTTCTTCTTCTTCTGGTTTAATGCTGTAACCGCCTAAGCCAATCAAAATTTCCAGAAACTGGTGATTAATTCACGGCGCCATATTGGGAAATTCTAACGCAGCAGCGAAATAAATAGTCGCGTTGTGTGGCATGTGGCCCTGTCTTGTGTTGAAATCACGCTTCGTTCAGATCAAAATATTAAATTTCAGGGCAAAATGAATTTTGATCTTCACAACATATCGCTGAGAATTGGCGGCTCCTATAGCTCCATCCTCGTCCTCGCAGATGTACGGTCCGATGACGCTGCCAGTACACAACGTAAACAAAGTAGTCCATATTTGCGGAAAATTTGTTTACATTCATATTTTATTCGAGATTTCAAATATTTTAATGTATGAAGAAAAATTATTTTTCTGCAAAAATCTACTACAATTGTGAAATTCAATTTACTAAATTATTCTCTTTCGATTGCCCTCCACCAACCCCAACATACTCGGCTATTAATTTTTTTTTTTTTCAATTCAGCCCGAAAACGCCTTTCCTTTGTTTGAGTGTTTGTTATATTCCACTTTAATTTGAATAGTACGCTGATAAAAGCAGATTACGTCTGTCCGCTCACCACTGGCGCTCGTCCAAATTTCTCTTTTGCGAGCGTTGCGCGTTTACTTAGTCGCTAGTGTCTTACATTCGTGCCAAAGCAAACAAAAAATTATTTCTACTCTGCAATAATGATTACAAATAATTAACAAGCAAAAGAAAAAAAAAAAACAAATGTGTACAATCAAAATATTTATTTGTTGCGATTGTCGCTTTGTATTTTTAGCGCAAACGACTCATTGCGAAAATATCTTTGCGATGTTGTTTAGACATGCAAATGTATATCTCTATGCGCAGCCAGCCTCAATTAGAAAAAAAAAAACATAGAAAGACATGCAAAAATTTTTTTTTTTTTTCGATTTACCTATAAAATTCTGCGCAGTCAAAATCTATCCTTTCTGTGCACCTTGACTTTCGATTCGAATACTTCTTCGACGCTTGCCAACAGCGCCCTCTACACACAAGCTTATGTACATATGTATGTATGGGCTTTATCTAGCTGCCCACTAGCCTTATCTTTCCTAGATTGTAAATATTTACCTTTATCTACATACAACAAAGACAACAAAAAAATACGTTTTTTGATGATAACTTTTCAACTAACTTTTCCATATTTCTCCCATTCTCTGCATTTTCAGGTCGTTAACAGCAGTACAACAACACGCGTTGAAAAGAAACGTTTACATCACATTACATCCTCATCATCTTCGTCCACCTCCTCGTCGTCGACATCATCGTCCGAAATGAAGACGGCAGCACTGCAACGCGATTTAAGCGAAATGAAAAATTCCATGTCTGAAATAACCGATCTTGTTGGCCGCAATGCCAACAACACGAATAGCGGTGCACTGGGCAGCAGCAGCAATAATTTGGCCATCTCAGCAGCAGCAGCACATCAACCATCCATAAACGATCTCACACAATTGAAAGCGCTGAACAGTGCGGATGCTATTGAAAATTTGAAAAAGAAGTACGTTGAGCTGCTTATACGGCGTTTATATGGGGCAATTTTACATGCAACTTTTACTTGCCTGGTGTGAATGGCCTTTCAACTAATCGCTTCCGATGAAGTTAAGGCGCAGCCAACCAAGTTTCGATTCAACAAATCGCCTCTGAAATTGCATGTAAAATCGCCGCATGTAAACACCGTTTTACTAGACACTTTCGAAATTCAATTATTACTTTTGTAACTTTGTGAAAAACTAATTTGTTTCCATTCATTTCAGAATCCGCTCATCCATTGAAAATCTCGTCGACAGCGATGCCGAACCGTTGGTTACATTTCCCGATGCCGATGATGATCATCACAAATTGGCCGATTTGGTTAGTGTCTCGAATGGCAAACTTACCACCACCAATGGCTTGGGCGGTTCGGGTAAAATTGTCGATACCGTTAAATTCGAAGAGAGAAGCACAAAGACCGAATCGAAGACGAAAGTCGTAGCCGATGGTTTCAGTACGGAGCAGGCAACTAGCAATTTGGCTGAAATGAAACGACTACAGACGGGTGATATCGACTATCAGGAGGCTAAAGCGGCAGCAGCGATGCGTAATCGCACCGAAATGGATGGTGTGAAAACGGAAGAGAATGCCGCCGTTATACAGGTGAGTTGGAAAGAAAATATATATGTATGTAGGAGGATTCTTTTATTTGATAAGGTATTGATGGCTTTGAGTTCTCAAGTACTCCGAGTCAGCCTTGAAAGATCAGTTGCTTTTCCTCCAGGCTCCGCAGCATAGTGGGTTCGATTTCGGGTTCGGGTTGAGGCACACGGCCGATGTTAAACTCAGAGATACAAGAAAAGCGAGAGCCACTAGGAGTAGGGTGAAGATTAACTGTGTAGATCCTCGGTACTTCCTGCACTAAATTGTAAAAACTACCTCCTGAAGGACTGTCTCTCTGATCCAATAATCGTTATAACTTCTCTTTACAAGCGTGTGCTGAAAAGATATCTGCATTCGCGCCACGGGGAATTTAAGAACTGTTTTGCAATATAGATTATGAAGAGTTTCGCGAGTCAGTAGTACTTCTTCCCACGTCTTTATTGAGGCAAACAAAAAATTAAAGCTTTGGTCCGATACTCAGGGTACTTTTAAAAACGTTTTTCTCGATACAAGGCCTTAGTCGAATAATGGTGGCCAAAACATGGAGATGAAGCCCCTATATTCTATAAATCCAATGCTAGCCAGACTCACGATGACATAAATATGAAGCAGGAGAGTAGTCAAAATGGACCAACTTTTAATACAGTTTGACGTTCAGTCAACAGGCCTCAGTTGCTTAGACGCACCTACGTTACATAAGGCATGCGAACTTACCCTACTGGAGAATTATTTGCAACCCACAACCACCAACCATCATAAACCAAGGCGCTAAGAAGGCCCTGCTCAACTTTAAAAGAGAGGCCAAATATAGAGGCAAAATCATATTGACAGGTTGCACCTACAGACTAAGACGGAAATTTCCAAGACCCAATTCAATAAGACGGACACAATCGACAAGTCGAACCTTGAGAAATGCTTTAGATTCAACTAGGCAGCAAAACCGTGTGCAACCACTCTAGAAAACACTTTTTGGTCTCACATCCAGTGCTGGTATGCTGACGGTTCAAGAAGCGCTAAGGTCTTGAGTTCAAGCGACTATGAACATTTCCATTTGTGAAATAATTCGAATGTCTTCTATGCATTGGTTTACGCCATCATGGCCACATGTCGTCCCCATGGTTTGTGTTCCAGGCTCCCTGATCCTATCAGGGCCCACTGTTTCTCTGTCGAATTTTGCCACCACTTTAACTTTATATTATTATGTGGCGTCGTCGAACTTTCTTTATGGTATGCAAACGAAGCCATCTACAAGTTTTAGCCGTCACCAAATAAATGCTTATATACAAACATGAAAGGTATGAAGGAAAAAAATGTTAAATCTTGGCATTTCATGTGCGACAAGTTTCGATCGGGCTCACAACCTTCGAATAAACAGGGCGTATTTTCGTTGGCCTTAATATTATTTAGTAGTGATTAACGCAAGCATGCCGCCGACTGCAAGAGGAGTGAGCATAAACATAGTGAGAAATCCTTAATCCATCGATATGCATAAATATAACTTTTTACATAAATAATTTTGTCACTGGCATTGTAAAAGCTTGAGCTCTGTGTGAAATGAGCCAACTCGCGTGCAGAGAAAAAAAAGTGGGAAAGTCCAGCACCCGTATGTATGTATATTCAAAAGTACAGGGAAGTCCCTGCCTGCCAAACGAATTGTTATTTGGTAATAACTGCAAACGACACAGTTGGTATGTAAATGAAGCAAGAAAAGGGTGGCGCATACACATAGCTTTATATACTTACATACATACATATATATATACATACTACATTCTTGTGAACGTAAATATGTATGTATGTATGTTTGTTAATATCTGCATTTTACGCCACAGCCCCATAACGAAATCCCATTTTTGCGCTGCGATACTCCACTCCACAGCGGCTAATCTTTTTAGCTTTGTGAAATATTTTATTTCGTTTCCATAAGTCAAGCTGACATTAGCACGCACGCAAGGCTAGCTAGCGGTGGCAGTGATTAAACTAATTATTCTTTTTATAAAAATCTATATGAAAAATTTACGAGGTGACCTGAATTCGCGTTAGAAAAAAAAAAAATTGGCGTTGCACGAAGGACAACGTAATAAAGGACATTTCTTTGAAAAAGGCCGCTAAAAAATTTGAAGAAAAAATATTCATGAAGAGGTCGAAGTGAAGCGATTAAAACTCAGCTTAACAGCTGCATGACTCCGACCACACACAAAAAGGCTGAATTGTGAAACTTAAACTGAAATGAAATTCCTTAGAAAAGCTTTAGACAGCAAACAAAATTTTCTCATTCATTTTGCGATGCCAAGGGCGTTAACTCACGAAACAGCAAAGGAATATCGATTTTCACTGTAGTGAGTGCTCTTGTCCTTTGGCTTCGTCTTCGCGCAACATTGAGTTACAAAAGGAGTGGAGAGTTGCCTGGTTGGTTGCCTGGTTGGTTGGTTAGTTGGTGGCTGTTTGGTTGCTTGGAAATGCTGGTGTTTTACTAATTTATTATATAAAAGTAAATTTAGTTAGACTAAAGTGAATTTGATGTGAAGAACGCATGGTCCATGTGACGCGTCGCGTTTGCTGCTCTGACTTTTTTTTGCATTGCTAAGCTATGACTATTATGTTGCTCACAAGATGTCTACTAACGTCAATGCATTGCTTAAAAAATGGCAGCACTGTGTGTCACTATTCAAAGCGTACGCGTCCTAAATCCGTATTCGGAAAGATTAAGGTAATTATGAGAGTGAAGTGGTTGTGTCCTTTGTTCATGCAAAATGTACTATTATAGAATATCTATTTACCACTGGAAATTTATTTACTTAGCGGTTAATGTACTACAAGGGAATGTGTTATATGCAGAGTTCGAAGTTGACGTGGAATATTTGTGTGAACAATCATGTTAATACCCGTACGTTTATAAGTCGCACAGTGGTACAGACCCATAAATTTTTTAGAAAAAAAAATGGAGGGATTTGGCGTAGAACCTCAATTTTCTGCATGCAATATTTATGGACATAAATCCTGAAAGAACGGAAAATTCGCGTAATCGATTTATTTTAAAGCATATTTCCCATATATGTAATCCTAACCTCAAAAATGTCCTAAAAAGCACACCATTCAATAATGTTATATGTGAACCTCAAAAAGTGGGCGTAATCGGTTTATTTTGAAGTATACCACCCATACAAACCTAACCTCAAAAACGCATTAAAAAGGCTGTGAAATTTTGCCTTATGTTAGTAATAATATTATAACTAATCATCCAAAAAATTGGAGTAATCGGTTTACTTTAACACATACATACCTGTCATGCAAACTTAACCCCAAAACGCCTTAAAAATACCATAAATTCTATACTATTCCTATATAAGGTTACGTTAAAAGTCACAAATTGGGCGCTACATTTTTGTCAGAGATCCATAGAAAATATTCCAATCTTTCATTTTTTGTATAGCTAGAAGACGGAGAAAGACCGAGCAAACAAAGTTTTTGTCAATAAAAATTGTCAAAGTTGGCATTTATAAAGTGTCATGTTTGTCTTTCGGTACTTGTCGGCCATTTTTCGGAATTTTTTCGGGACCGTTTGTGAGTTTTCGCTAACTCTTAGATTAAAAAATACATTTTATTCTTAACTTTGGTTTTATTGAATGTGTAAAAATTGGACAGCAAAAATTACCGACTATACTTTGTTAAAAATAAAAAAATATTTTACTTTTTTAATTTTACCATAAAAAATATAAAAAAAAATATTTGGATTTGCTTGGTAAATTTTTTTTTACTAAAAGCTTCATACAGGGGATGGCCTGTGCTATTTGATAAGAAACAAATCTGCTCCGAAAAGGAGAGGAACTGAGCAAAAAAAATATATATAAATGTTTTATTCGCTCATTAATCGTTCTCTTATCTTTATCTTTATCGTTACTATTATCGCTGTTATGGTTATCATCTTGTTATCGAAATTTTTATTGTAACCAATGTCATTATTGTTAATATCATCTACAATAAACGTCGCTTTCATTGTGATATTGATATTTGTATCTCTATCGCTATTTTAATCGAATAATTTATCGATGTTTTTATCGAAATTCCTATCTATTCTTTTGCCGCATGCACACCTTTTATTTACGCTATCGAACGTCAGTTTGATGTTAAAATCTAAAAAAAAAATTTTGTTTCCGAAACTGAGTCTTTTAAACCAAATCCAAGGAAATAAATACCCTTTTTGTATGCATAATATTCATTGGTTATGTACATATGTATATTTAAGTTACATTTGTACATATGTAATGTAATATTCGGCAGCAATGACTTTATGATTGCCGTGAAGTTAATTAATTTCATATCTGTGTTATCTTTATGTTTCTCACTCACAATGACAATAAATGGAGCTTCAGATTATCGTCAAAATGATTAATTTGAATTGAAATTGAATTCGTTTAACATACACTGGCGGCAGAAATAATAGGCTCGAAGTACTTTTAAGAATTTTTGTTATATTTTTTTACTTTATTTTATCTTTTAACATTTTTTTATAAAAGCCTAGGTAGTTATGCAACAAACATCATATAAATCGGCTTTTCAAAATTTGACCAAAACTATAAAAATTCGACAAATTTTCACCAAATTTTAAACTTTTCATTCAGAATTTTTAGAAAAATTTTCGGTATGCTGGTTTGTAGCCCATTCAATTTTAGTAAAGTGCAATTTTAGTAAATGGAAGAGATTGCCTAGCATCGTCAAAAAAAAACAATCAAAAATCAACGGTATTTTCTAGTCATTTAAAACTTGCAGTTTATTGTAAACTTGATTGGGCTACAAAACTGCAGACCAAAAATTTTTCTAACAATTCTGAATAAAAAGTTTAAAAATTTGGTGAAAATTTGTCGAATTTTTATGATTTTTTTATAAAGTTTGAAGAAGGGACTTTTTATGGTGTTTGTTGTATAGCTAGCTAAGCTTTTATAAAAAATATTAATTATAAAATAAACCATGGAATAATAGCCAAAGTAAGGTGAGTCTAT